GGTTGCTGAGACAAAGTTGGTTGTTGTACTTCCTAATTCCACAAACAGGATCCATTCAAGGCTTCCACCTGGATTGGCTTAAACCAAGATTGGCTTGTCAGAAGCAATCAACCATTATGATTTGTGAAGTATAATAGCAAGTTAATGAACATGGTAGGTTGTTTTGTGTCTTGGGCTTAAGAATGCATAAGAGGGACAGCTAGTTGGAGAAGAAGAGGAAGAAGGCAACGATAGACAAGAATACGAATAGGGACATTTCAATAACAGAGATCAGAATAGCTAAAACAGTGCTTTTCCAGTGGTAAAATATGGTTGGGAAAACTAAGCATTTAGACAACAAGCAGAATAAGTTGTTATGTATATGAATATTAATGATTACTAATAGCAACTGCATATAGACTGAATTGATCAGAAATAAAGGCTGACCAAGTTCTTGAGGTGAAGATCAGCAAGCAGAAACTCACAAACCCTGAGCATGTGACATGACATGAATATGCTTGGCAAGGTTGAGAAGTATAACTGCCAAGACAACAAGAACACAACTGATGTTGATGAATGAGCTCAAAGACATTGTTAGAATCACCTTGGAAGAGTTATCTATAACTGAGGTCAGGATTGTAAGCATTCTTCCATGCCCAACTCTATGGCACCCATCCCAAGGGTTTTTTTCAGAAGTATTGACAAGCCACATGTCTCTGATCCTGTATTTTGCATTTGTTTCTTGAATAAAGCGTTTTAGTTTGCCTCCACTAAACTTCAATGTTATTTTTAGTTATTTCTCTAACTTATCAAGATGATTTTAAATTTTGTTTCCTAGTCCATTACCTGTCACACCCAGTTTTGTGGTGTGACAGGTAATGGACTAGGAATGAGGAATGACTAAATGAGGACCCAGATTGTTGGGGGCAATGTAATATATATATACATTGCTTACTGGTGTACACCGCTTAGAGGGTGCTTGCACTTAAAGCGGTATATAAGTCTCATAAATAAATAAATAAATATTGTTTCTTTCTTTTTCTTCTCTTTTTTGTTGCTTTTTTTTAAGATATGAGAAATGTAAAATTGTTGGGATAGCTTGTATGATGAAAAAGACAAAGGGGAGAATTTTGCAATGTTGGAAGAGCAATGATGGATAAGGAGGTCTGATTAATAAGCAACTTAATTTTTCGGTAACCTGATGCTTTCCAGGATGTTGAACTTTTTCCCTACTGGCATGGCCCAAGCTGAGGATGTGGAAAGTTGTAAACATACCTATAAAAATTCAGGGCAGAAGGGTGTCCACCCTGCTACCAAGTTGGAAAGACAATGGAAGATTTTCCTCACTGCTTAGTCGCCTCCCTCTTGACAGCTCTCCCTCTCCTCAGGAGCAGCCCCTTCTCCCCAGCCCCTCCCGCTGCTTCCTCGGCCAATGGAGTCCTCTCCTTCATGAACACTGCCTTCCAGCCTACGGCAGGTTCGCCATTTCCCATGGAAACAGTTGCTATGGTAGTGCAAGTGGGGAACTCCCATCTTTTGGTCCTTCTTACCTCAGCATCTTCACCGCCTCTGGCAACTGCAGCTTGTGAGCTCCTTAAAGCCTCCATGAAAGGACTCGCAATGGGTGGCCACGCTCTGCTACTCTGTGCTGCCAGACTAGGGTCCTGGCTACTGGAAGTTAAGAGTGGGGATCTATCAGCCAGAGCCATGTTAACAAATTCCCTCTCTGGGTTTGTAAGGGTAACCTGAATTGGAGATGCCAGCAGGGAATGTGCATGGGCTCAGAGCTGCCTTCACTTACAACAATTGTAGCCAGCCACTAAGTGAGTGAGTTGTTAAGCAAGCTGTGGCCAATTTAACTTTTTGATCATGGTCATTAAGAGAATCTGGCTTCCCCTACTGACTATTTGTTGGAAGCCCTCCCCCCCAAGGTTGCAAATGGCAATCATGACCCTGATGCTGCAATCATTATAAATACATGCAAGTTGCAACGTACCCAAATTTTGATCATGTGTCTACAAAAGTCATAAGTGTGAGATCCAGTTATGTTATGTCAGAGATCATAATTTCAAATGATCATTAAACTAATGATCATAGGTCAAGGACTGCTTGTATAGGTTTTCTGCCACATGAGCAAGGCAAAGCGTCCCAGGGGGAATCCAACTAGGAATGGCACTTTCTCTTCTTTGCCATCCAAACATCCAGTAAATACAGGAATGATGCTGAGCAGAATGGAAAAAGCAGGGAAGCTAAAGGCTGCTCCAAACAGTGAGCCTCCTGTTATACCCTCAAGCACAGGTGTGCTGGAGAGGGGGGAGGTGTTTGGGGGGCAATGGGACAAAAAAGAAGCAGAAAAGGTCAAAACAGGATTCTTCCAGTTTCTTGACTATGTCGCTTGTGAGGAGCTAATGACTTTCTGATGGGTGAGACTACCATAACCAAGCGCCAGTTAGGTATCCCGAGAGTTGTAATCCCACACACCCAGAGGGCGCCAGGCTGGGGAAGGCTGCTAGAACCATGAGGAGACTCTGCACAGAATGTGGTAACTCTTTCTAGCAAGCCCTCCAAGATGGAGATGGTTTTTCTCTAGGCCAGCAAATGTATCACCAAGGCAAAGTTTGAAGCGGGTATTTGGTTTCATAGCTTGACCACGATGCCTCCACAGAATAATATGGGGCAGGGGGGGAAAGGTGGATTTTTGATAGGCTTTCCTGGCATTTAGAGGAGAAGTTTCTAACTTTCAGATGCTGCAATATAGAAAGTATTCTGCGTTTGCTTAGAGCTGCTTCCAATGCATGCCATGTGGCTGAACCCCAACCCTGAAAACCATCTTTGGGATTTAAGCAAAGCAAAAATTGTAGTAAATTAAGGACAGCATGCTACTTGAGCGACGTGGTGGCCTTGAAGGTGGCGCTCTTGCCTGACAATCAGGAGGCTATGAGTTCAATCCTAGGTAGCAGCCATTTCTCCCTCTGGGCACAAAAAGAAAATATCTGCTGTGAACTCCACGTAAGAGTCAGGAAAGGCATCCGGCCAGTAAACACTCAGCTCCATTCAGTCGCCCTGACTCCACCCTGATGCAAGAGATTACAGGGTGCTTAAAAGAAAGAGAGAAAAAAAACAGCAAATCCTACTATGGTGGACATGATAACACTGTTCCAATATTTGAGGGGCTCCTATAAAGACGAGGGGGTGAAACTATTTTCCAAAACACCAAAAGGCAAGACAAGAAATAATGGCTAGAAACTAATCAAGGAGAGAACCCTAACCCTAATCGGCCTGGAACAAAGGAGAAATTTCCTGACAGTGAGAATAAATTAACCAGCGGAATGGCTCGCCTTCAGAAGTTGTGGGTATGCCATCAGTGGAGGCTTTTAAGAAGAGATTGGGCAGCCATTTGTCCAGAATGATCTCCTGCTTAAGCACGGGGGTGGACTAGAAGACCTCCAAGGTCCCTTCCAGCTCTATTATTCTATGTCCTATGATTCATGAGCCAAGCAACTGGGAACTTTTCTCTTAATGAGAATCATAATCAAAAGGCTTGAAATTCGTTTTTTTATCCACAATTCAATCTCCTGCTTAAAAGACTCTCCCTCTCCCTCTAAGCTTATGTACTTCTCCCTGCCAGCCCAGACCCTGGCACCATCCCTTTCTGCCCCAGACGCCCAAGGACAAAAACCAGCCACCAAGTGGTTCAGGCCCAATATTATAGCAACTTTATTGATGCTGCTGCCCTGGAGAAGGGAAAGAACCAAGTGGAAACTGGCAACCGCTCCCGTTGAGAGATGGGACGAGATAGGAGGAGGCTCTTGGCTTTGTGCCTTCAACATCTGAGGGAGCAAGGGTCCATGAAATGGGTTTTTTTTAAAAAAAAAGGCCTCAGAAGGACAAAAGCTTAAAGTGCCTATGATTAAAAACTTTGAGGAAAAAAAAAGATTGCTTTCTTTGATCCCTGCCTATGAATAGCTTAAGATATACCTTTCCTCACCAAAGTTCACAAAGCTGTCAAGATGAGAATCACTTGACCCAAGAAGAGTTCAGAGCCAGCTGTATGGACTTGCCTACTGGAAACCTCTGCACAGGGCTGGCTGAAAGAGATCTTTCCACCTAGGGTTAACAATAACAATAACAGAATTGGAAGGGACCTTGGAGGTCTTCTAGTCCAACCCCCTGCTTAGGCAGGAAACCCTATACCATTTCAGACAAATGGCTGTCCTTCTTAAAAACTTCCAGTGTTGGAGCATTCACAACTTCTGGAGGCAGGTTGTTCCACCGATTGTTCTGTCAGAAATTTCTCCTTAGTTCTAGGTTGCTTTTCTCCTTGATTAGTTTCCACCCACTGCTTCTTGTCCGGCCTTCAGGTGCTTTGGAGAAGAGGTTGACCCCTTCTTCTTTGTGGCAGCCCGAGATATTGGAAGACTGCTATCATGTCACCCCTCGTCCTCCTTTTCATTAAACTGGACATACCCAATTCCAGCGACCGTTCCTTGTTATGTTTTAGCCTCCAGTCCCCTAATCATCTTTGTTGCTTCTCTTCACTCTTTCTAGAATCTCAACATTTTTTTTACATTGTGACGACCAAAACTGGATGCAGTATTCCAAGTGTGGCCTTACCAAGGCCTTGTAAAGTGGTATTAACACCTCATCTTGATTCTATCCCTGTTAATGCAACCTAGCACTGTATTGGCTTTTTTTTTTTTGGCAGCTGCAGCACACGGCTGGCTCCTCTTTAAGGGATTGTCCACTAGGACTCCGTGATTCCTCTCACAGGTTCTCCAGCCAACCCAGGGAGAAACCACTTGGGCAGGAGGAGGCAAAGGATGAACCCAGAGTTACGGGCTCTGTTGCAAGAGAGCCTCAAACACATGTTGGGAACAGAACCAAGGCCATCTAAAAATCTTGGAAATAATCAGGAGAAAAGGCACTAGCAGTCAAGCTTGGTAGATCCTGCTTTCCTAAATGCTAAAAATTCCTTTTGAAAGATTACAAATAACTGATTTCACAATTAAGCACTCTGCCCCTCAAGTCTGCAGCAATACTTTATTCTTATCTTCCTGATTTGCTTTTCTTAAAAAACAGGATTTCCTCCTTAGTGCAATTCTGGAGAGAACCCCAACAGTTGGCAATTTCCTTCCCTCTTTTGATGAAGCCTTCCATTTCACCCCCACCCTCATTCTCTGTTCTAAGAACAAAGCTGGGGGGGGGGACAGTTGTTGAACATGCCATGCTTGATGCAGTCGTGGGCTGTGTTTGCTGTCTGGAATCACACGGCTGAAATGAAGACAAATATAAAGAGAAACAATCCTTAAAAACTCATTAACAAACCACACTTTATAGCAGACAGGCAGCAGAGATGTACAGCTTAGAAGCAAAGCAGGCACTTGAACAGCTCTGTTGTTCATAAGCAATTAGGTCCTACCTTTTGTTGCATTTATCTCAGGGCGCCTTATAATGCACACGAAAGCAGTTTGCAGCAAGGAGCACCAGGGCAATAATAACCTTTTTCTCTAACATGACCTGCCAAGATGTTGGGGATTGCAATTCCCAGAATTCCCAATGTGGCCAAAGCCACAGCTGGGAGCCAAGGGCAGCTGAAGGCTCTTAGCCAAAAATCCTAAGAGGCAAAAATAGTGGGGACCAGGTCACTTTAAAAAGAAAGCTGCTTACTCACCTGAAATGGAAACGTTCTTTAAAAGTATTGAGAAAAGCAGAAGTAAAATTGGGAACAGAAATTTGGAGGTGTTTTAATTATCTTAATCAGCTGCCTTTGGTCCCCAAATCAGTCTTTTTGAACCTTTGCGGGGAAGGAAGTAGCTTCCAGTTAACTATTCTGGAAGCTGGAACTCTTAAGATCCACATGATAGCTTTATATATTTATTATATTAATTTATGTGACCATCCAAGTCTCATTTGCAACTTTAGAGTTGGGAGTGATCAGCAATGTGCAAATAGGATTGTTAACAATCACTAAAAAAGTAATTTCTGGTAGAAATGTTAATTCACTGCCTTCCTTTCTTTTAAAGGCTGAAAAACTCTCTGTGACCTGTTATGTTTGTGGTGCTGCATTTCCTTGCCCGGCAGGAGATGACTTTGGTTGCTTAGAATTCCTCAAAGGGAGAACTTCACTCTTTGAGAACAGAAACATAAATTGCAGGAGGAAAAAAGAAAGGAAAACACAGATCAGTCGAGAGAAATGCTTCCTCCACTTCTCAATCCTACCAAACCCTGGCTGCCTTCTGACCCGCCAAGCGCAGCTGAATGACCAACCAGCTACTGACCATCCTCTTGGGCAGCATTTCTGTCCTGGCCGTAGGTCTGAAGTGCAGGGAAGTCAAGGAACGTTGCACCAAACCAGCCCAGCAGGAGCCCCTAAGAGGGAGGCAGAGTTCAGGAGCTCCCTCCCTGCTGGTCGGCAGAGGCTGACAGGGGGCCAGGAGAGACTGGTGCGGACGGAGCCGAGGCTGGCTCAAGGGCAGCTGGAGGCTCTTAGCCAAAAATCTCAAGAGGCAAAAATCGAAAAGGGGGAAAGGGCCCGCTTGGCCCCCCCAGCAAAAGGGCCTTAGGCAGACAGCCAGCAGCCACTCCATTCCAGGAGCAAAGTGGGACACAGCAGGATGTGGCGTAAGAGGCTCAACGCTGACCAAAGACCCAAGTAGGAAGAACAGACAGTTCTGTGGCTCTGACCCCCGTGGCACGGCCACTCGGCCTCGATGCAGCTGGGAAATCCTGAGCCAGCTTTCTCGCATTCGTTATGCGATGACAACAACATCACATAACCAATGTGGAATTCCCAGATTGATCACTGGCCTCAGTAAAAATTCTTCTTCCCTGGAATTCTACATGAAGAAAATCTGAATTCTCCACCCCAAAAAACTGTCCAGAATGCTGTTTTGTACCAACTTCCCCATTTTACTTAAAATGTATTTGCGTGGAACACACAAAACCCAGTCTCCAACCCCTTAGAAATGTTACCACCCACTTCTCATCTCCAAGTCACTTCTTCTAAAAATCCATAACTACATGAATTTTTATTTTTTATAAATGAAATAGATAAAGCAGCCTCTGCATTCTATGTCGCCTACAAAAGCTTTTCCTTTCGTCTCCAGCTTATGATTGTGTGGGACAAAGCCTGCCTTGGGGACATCTTATGTTGTGCCAGTCAGTTCCACTTGACCCAGGCAGGAAAGGAAAAGAAGAATTCAAACCTCTGTGAATCACCCAAGTGAACAAATCTGCTTATGTAGCCTCCCTCTTAAGCTGTGGCGGCCCTCCGTGTTTTGTGGTTACAGAGCCGAACTTGTGGCCAGCCACTTTCCTTCCGGCTGCTATTCAGGTGGGGCCTTCAGGACTGCTGTAAAAGTTGATCCATAGCCGGAAAAGCAGAAACTGCAGCATTTCCTGATTTAACCAATTCTCCAGATATGTCAAATGCCTTTTTGCCTTTGCCTGAATAGGTTTCCAGGCTCCCCATCTGGACAGCAGTGCGCCCCCCGCTGGCCAGCTGCGCACACAGCCACAGAGAGTTCCCGTGTATTAAAAAAAGAAATATCCGTTACAAATGAAGAGTCACATGTCTGTTTAATGGACTGCTTGTACAGCCTTTCTCCACAATTGCTTTGCTCCTACTCCCACAGCCTTCTTTCTTGTTGACCCCAGAAGACAGGAAAGGAGAAGAAAGGAAGAGAAGAGCCTTATATGAACATAACCAGGTCTTTACTTGTTGCTTTTGAGAAAGCTGCCAGGATGCTGGCAAAAACCACATCTGGAGACTGGGAAGCATCAATAGCTGTATGGATTCCACGCCGGGAGTAGTAGTCTACCAGCGGACTGGTCTGGGTGTGATAAGCCTTCAGGCGTGTTTTCAGCGCTGCTTCGTTGTCATCTGACCGGCGGATCAGAGATTCCCCGGTGACCTGGCAAGGGCAGCAATTTGTCAGTGAGGGCACCAGCCAAGGACCCACCACTGTTCAGCATTTCTGAGCTGGAAAAGACTGGCACCCAACCCTTAACGACGCAGACATCAAGCCACCCCAAGCAGCTGAAGGCACAAAGCCCCTCTGAGCGGTTGCTGAGATGATTCCCATTCGCTCCGTCCCTCTTTTCAGCCAAGCATGAGGCTGCTGCTGGGGTCAGTGACTTGGCCTGGCATTGAATTGGGCAACTCTTACAGCAGGGGTGTCAAACTGGCAGCCCGCGGGCCGGTTGCATCATGCAGAAGCTGCGCCCACCCCAGCTCTGGCGATGCAAAAAAAGTTGTGATACGTTGCAACACGTCACGTGACGTGGCAAATTTGACACCGTGTCTTACAGGGAGTCCTTGGCAATTATCAGTCATTTAGTGACCACCTGAGGTTATGACAGACCTCCAGGAAACTACTTATGGCCCTGTTTCAAAGTTCTGATGTCACCCAACCCCCGTGGCCACAGGGCTGCATTCTGGGCATTCGGCAACCGGCCCTCCCATCAACAGCTGGAGCGCCCGTGGCTGCAATCCACAATGCTTTTGCCAGAAACCAGAATTTACTTCCTGGTTCCAACAAAACCAACGAACAGGGGTTCGCTTAACAACTGTGGCATTTGCTGAATGACTGCTGGGTTCATTTAATGACTGCCCCCAAAATGTAAGATTGGGTCCAGTCACAGGATGACCCTCTTTATGAATGTCATGACTTACAAGCGTCATTGCCAGGATCCATTACGGTCATAACTTGTGGACTCCCTGCATCCTGTTTGACCATTCCCCTCCCACTGGCCATCCCTACAGTGGGGGTCCTCACAGCAGTGTCCTGCCTGTGCAACCCCTGGGCCCTCTCCCAAGGCCTGGCTTGAAAGTAACCCAGAGAAGATCGCCAGCTGGAAGCTGACCGGTGGTGACAGCTCCTGGGCTGACCTTCCTCCTGCCTCTGGCATATTAATTTGTTCATGAATGAATTTTTGATAGCCACCCATTACGGTCAATGACTCTGGGCAGCTTGCAAATCAAAAAATATATTGAAATTAAAATGCTAAAAATATCTTAATACAATAAAAACCTTCAAAACAAATACACACAACAGCTGAGTTCCTTAGCCAGTTAGCAGCACAGCAAGGAAGCTGGGCACAGCTTAGCATAGTCAGCCATCCAGGCTCAGGAGCACAGCCAGGTTTTAGGGCTTTAGAAAAGACTAACAGGGTTGGAGCCATTCTGATCTCCAAGGGGAGGATGTTCCACCCTGCAGGGGTCACGGTGAAAAAAACACAACAATTTCTAGTTCCCACCCCCCAAAGATATCCTAAGGCTTTAGAACAACTAGAAGCATTTCAATACAAACCCCCAAAGGGGAGACACATACATCGTCCTTCATATCGACCTTGGGTGGGTTGAATTCCTCATGGTAGGAACGGCCACTTCCTGGGTGGATCAGCCTGGAAGGGAAACACAGAAAAGCCTCATCCCTCTTTCATCTCAAGCACCTATATGGGGCAAAGCTAGTCTACAAGCTCTATAATTTAAAACCTTTGCAATTTCCAAAGGTTAGGAAAGCAATTTTTCATAAATGAAAAGGAAACAGAAGGGTACAAAGAGGGAATGTGTTGGGAACATCACTACAGCACTGGTAAAATCAAGGGAGTGATGCAAGGCCACCAAGGACGGGGAGTTTTCTTTCAGCACACACTCAGACAACACACATACACAGATGACTTGGATTTGCAGCATAACTAAAGGTTTCCCTATGTAGGACTCCAGGTATTTCCTATTTAGTCACTGACCACTGATCACAATGGGCTGATCTGCTCCCCTTGTATTACAAAATATGCTTCTAAGTGGAAGCATCTTTCCTTTATAAAATGCTTCCACACTCTCGCCCTTGGCTTTGTAGCACGATGGTCAAAGGCAGCAACATCCCCCAAGGAAAATGACAGTTACCGTCCAGTGATTCTCCGGATGAGCAAGGAGTCAGCAATGCTGAATTCGATGACTGAATCTAGTTTCTCTTTCCTCTTCACCATCAGCTCGTCCAGCTGTAAAATTGTGAAAAGGAGGCAGCCTAGTGAGCTAATTCGCACCGAAGCTCACCAAATCTCTTCTGGGCCAAGGCAGACCTGTGCAGCCAGCAAACGGAGTCAAAGGCAGAGCACGTTCCCTTCTTGGCGCTTCCGACAGGACTAAGACCCCCTCCCAGGACATGCCTCCTTGAACTACTGGCAACACGCAGGGTGTCCGCTTTGCACAGGGCACAAGTGATGTCCAAGCCCAAGGACAGCACTCACCATCTCTGCTTGTCGCACAGTGCGAGGGAACCCGTCCAAGAGGAAGCCATTTTTGCAGAGTGGGGTCTCAAGATTCTTCTCAATCAGCTCTACCACCATCTCATCACTCACCTAATAAAAGAGGAAGGGGAACCCAGTGGGTGCAGTAGCTGCTGGATCCACTCAAATCCACTAAAAAATTGTGCTTGTGGTGATCCCGGCCACAGCTGATTTACAATCGCCTTGCTCAACCTGCCTGTTTGGGTGCAGCTTTGCAATGTTTAAGCCTTTAATTCAAAGAGCAAAGGATACTACTGGAACAGAGCAAGCCAGCGTCACACCCCGCCCCACCCCTGACACTTTCCAGAATTGGACCTAATGGGATTCTGGTCTGTTCAGAGGCATCTGTGGAAACCAGTTTCCACTCCTTCTGCCACTGTGCAATGAGGTCATGATGTTCCTCCCTGCCCTGCAAGTCCCCATCGGCCTGTTATTTGGGGAACAATGTGGCAGGACAGGAGAGGCTGGTTTAAGTCAACATTCAGTAGACAGAGGAGTCTTCTTCTTGAACTTTTGGAAAGCACAGCCCAAAAACTACCACAGAGGACGCCAATCTCCTCACTCACCAGCTTCCCAGCATCCATCGTCTCCTTCAACCTCTTCCCCAGCTCTGAGCCCGAAGCCACCATCGCCCTCAACATATCTCCCGTAGCCAGATGGCACACACAGTACGTTTCAGCGAGACGAGGAGCCTGGACGAGAAAGAAGAGTCAGCAGTTCTCGGTTATATATAGGTAGTCCTTGACTTACAATTGTAATTGAGCTTGCAATTTTGGTCATAAGTCATGAAGTTCATAAAGCAAGTTACCACACAACGGTCCAAATTTAAAACCCTTTTTGTGGCAGTCATTAAGCAAACACCATGATTACTAACCAAATTCATTGTTCTGGGGGGGGGGGAGATGGAACAAATTTAAATCTGGGTCTTAGATAGCTTTTTCAAGTCCATCATAACTTTGAACAATCACTAAGCAATCAGTTGTAAGTCAGAACTATCCGTACTTTCATTGTGATTTATTTCTTTATAGCAAATTGTTGAACTAAAGAATATGGCTTTTGATTTAGTATGAGGAAATATAATTTCTTTTGCAACTTAACGCTTTCATGTATCTTAAAAAGAAGAAAATACTAAGGAATACTTCATTATTCCTTCTCCACTAAAGATTTCCATTTTTATGGGCTACAGATAATCCTTGGAGGAAATAAATATCAAAGGAAGTATAAAGCTTCCCTTGATCAGACAGCCAGGAGGTCCAACAATAATAACCTGTTCCCAACAGCAGAACAGCATTCTGTCAGAAGTCTTCAAAAAGCTCAGAGGGATAAACCTGCCCTCCCCTTCCTGGCCCCTAGCAACTCAGGGCAACCAAGCGCCCTGTCTCTCACCCCGCTCCGCACCCGGGCCAGACTCGAGGGCCAAGGAAGCCAGGCGCTGCCTCCTTTGCTTTGCACCTCTGGCCCAGGAGGGAGCGTCCCATGGACGCCGGGCTGGGGCCGAAGGATCGGTCGGGGAGCCTGACGGCCGAATCTGAGAGCTGCCCGGAGACTCCCGGCTCTGCATCTTTGCAGGGCACGGCTGAGCCCGGGGCTGCCGTCCCCGGAGAGGTCTTGCCGAGAAGGGCCAGAGAAGCCCGTTTCGCAAGACAGCGCCTCGGACCCGCCGCCCCGCCCTGCCCGGCGGGGCAAAGGGCGAAGGCCTCCCTGGGACGAGAGCCAGGCAGGGAGGCGCTGGCTCCGCCGAGAGAGGAGCTCTGGCCCAAAGACGGCCGGGCATGGACGACTCCGGCTCAGGGCAACTGCTGGCCGACGCTGCACCTTTCGGGGCTGCACCTGGAAGGAATCGCTTCGATTCCGCTCTTTAAAACGAGGGGCCACCGCCGTCCTGCTCTGGGCCGGCGCTGCCCGGAATCCCCCAGCCAGCATGAAGAATCTGGCCCCGCCCGCGCGCCCCCTTCCCCGCAGACGCCGGCCCACCGGCCCCAGGCTCCTTGCCGAGACGCCCTGCCCGGGCCCGGCCACGGGCTGCTCGGCCAGACGGGCCCGCTGCCCTCCCCCGAAGTGCGCCGCCGGAGCTCCCGGCCCGCCCCGCCCGCGGAGCGGCTCCCCTGCAGGACCCGAGCGGGCCCCCTCCGAGCCGGACTCTGCCGCCGCGGGCCGGGGCGCCTCTGGGGACAGCCGGGTCGGAGCGACCAAGGAAAACTCACCTGAGTGCCCTTCCCCGCCCCGGGCGGCCCCAGGAGCAGGGCCCGCACGCCCTTCCGGGCCCCGCGTCCCAGCGCGTCTCGCCCGCCTTCCGCGCTCGGAGCCATCGCGCCGCTCGCCCGGCCCCTCCCGCGCCGCCACCTGACCCAGCCGCCGAGCGCGGGAGACCCGCCCCGCGCGCCTGGCCATTGGGGCGACGGCCGTCCCTCAGGCGGCGTGCACGGCTTTCGCCCGATCACCTTATCGCGGCGGCGGGATCTTGCCTCTGATTGGGCGTCTCGCCTCAAAAGGAGGCGGGGATGGTAGAGCTGCGCCTGCGCACTCTCTGGCAGAGATGGCTTTCGTTCTTGGGCTGCGTGACCAAATGTGTTGGGCTGCACGCAAATGTATTCCCGGAGAATGGGAGGAAAAGATCCTGCGGCTCCCCCGCCTGGTAATCGGAAGGTGGCGCTCGCGTGCCCCCTCCGGGCGGGTTTACCAGGCTCGGAAACGGATTCAGGCAACGTTTGGGAGGAATTCTGGGAGTTGAAGAGCTTGAGAAACGCTGTTCTGCTCTATACTGTGTTGAATCCCTTGATCAGCACCTGTTGGAGCTCCACCTGGAGCTCTGCGAGTGTCTTACTGCAGCGTGCTTCCTTAGGCCAATGGGCAGATCACTTGAACCCTCTGCCATTGTTGGCTTTCTGGCTGGAGACTTTTTCACCACAAGCGACACTCGTTGCCTCCACTTCTGCTGCTCTTCTATTCGTTGCATTTTAAAAGAAACCCCAACCTGTCCGTATCATCGCCGGAGTGCTTGCTCTTTGGAGGGAGAGTCGCCCCCCTCAACCCGCCTTTTTTTCTCCAGTTTGGCTCTTGGCCTGCGCTTCCCAAGCGCCTCCTCTGGGCGGCAGCCATGGGCCAGGTCGCGGTGGGGCAACACGTTGGCGCCCTCTAGGGATCAGACCCCAAAATAACAGGTACTTTTCCAGTTACGGAACTAAGGTTTCTATTCTTAAGCGAGGAGGTTGTCAAATGAGTCATGCCCGAATTTTATGACTCCTTTTGTCATAGTTATTTAGCGAATCACTGCAGTTGCTAAGCGAATCCAGCTTTCCCATTGACTGCTTGTTGAATCTTGCGAATGGCGATCAAGTGGCCCCAGGACTCTGCAACCATGGTAAATACATGCTGGCTGTGTCCAGTGATATTGCTCTCACAATATATAAAATCAAAATGGCTGACATGATCTGGGAGAAGCATGGTGGTTTTCCTTGGTAGTAAAATAGCCTAATGGGGAAATCTGTTTCTGAAGGGTGCCCCAAACCTTAAGTGAATCTTTGTGCTCTCTCCATGAGTGGGGCCACTTGCCACTAGCCACTTGCCATTACTCTTGGCAAGGGACCTTCTGAGGATAGCCAGAGTGCCTGGGGAGATGAAGACCAGCTGCAGCGGACTTCTTAATCACAGGGGTCTCTGCCTTGCAGTCTCCAGTTGTGGAAATGGGTGTGGGTATGCATCTATGTGAAGGGTTCTGTCATCTTGTGTTGACAACTGGTTTAGGAAGAACAGTTGATAAAATTCCTGTTTTCCATTGTACTGCTAGCATGGGTGCTTCTGAGGTGAAAGCCAAGCTTTTAGGTTTTATTGCTTTTTTCTCATTTAACAATGGCTTTTTGCTTTTGAAAACATGCTTGTGCAGAACCTGCCATTACTGTAGGTGAAGGCAAAAAAGGCATATAAGTAGTAAGAAAGAGAAAGGAGCTATATAAAATTCACATCAAACATTCCATTTTAATATGCCCGTGTAATGTAATGCAGAAATGTATAAAAAGTCACAGCTAACAGTAAATAAATCCTTTTGCTGAGGGATGGATCCTGTTTGGCGTCCTTCCTCGGGGAGACCCCTGATCTGCAACTGCTTCTCCTGGCAGAGGGCAACACATTTGGGGAACTGCTTCCACCCCCAAAGAAAATCCTCAGCCAGAAGCCCCTCTGGCCTCCCTCTTCCCAGCCTCTGGACCACCAGTTCAGCATCTCTTCATGACTCCTGCTTTGTTTCTTCCCCATCAGCCAATCGGATTGCTGGGCTTGGTCACCATGGTGACTCTTGTGAGGAGAGATGCGGGGTGGGGCAATATATAAGGGACCAGCATCCACCCAGAGCTGAAGATTAGCTGGTGCTGCTTTGCATGGTGTAGGCTTTGGAGGAGGAGGAGGAGGAGGAGCCACTGCCGAAGCCTATATTTACTCTTGGGAGACCCATGGGCAAAATCCGTTTAAATGCTTTTTAAGGTGGGCGGAAGGGAGGAGAGGGGTCCAGTAGTAGGCCTGGGGGAGGGCTTGGATTGTGGCTTAGGGGAGAGAGAGCTTGCAGGGTTCTGACCCTCCTTCCTGTCTCCCGCCTGCCCCTCTGCAGAGACCTCGGATCCCCAGCAGCAACTGCGCCTCGGGGTGTTGCAGAAGCTCAGAGTTCAACGGAGAACCCCCCTGGTATTACACCTAGCCACCTGAGAAGGAGGAAGGCTTCGGGACGGTGAGCCCCTCCCCTGGACAAGGAATGGGGGGGCAAGGAGGGGATGGGGAAGCAACCTGCCCCCCTCCCAAGCATGGGAAAAGGCCAGGAGCAACAGAGATCTGGTGCTCCCTCTTGTCTGACCCATTAAACGCTTTAATATCCGTCTGACATGGGACACGCAAGAGAGCCTGGCGGGGAGGCAGATTTTGGTCTGCACTGGAGAGAATCTCACAAAAGCTCACTTTTTAAAAAGAAATGCCATAAGTATTTATAGGACAGTAGAGACGCACACACACAAATATAAACGTGCACTTTCTCAGATAACCTTTATCCAAATTGTTATCCCATTTAACTCCCTACCAAGTTTTATTTTTCCAGGCTTGCTACGGGTGGGTGGATTGAACGGGGATTCCACAAGTGACTAAGGGCTGGTCTGGGAACAGGATTTTTTCCTCTGAATGAACTTGATGAGATGTCTCAGTCTCAGAGGGTTTCCACAGATCCTCCTTCCCCTTTGTGAATCCCCTCCTGGTCGTGCAATCCAAAACTCTCTCCTCAACTTACTGTACGCAGCTCCTCTCCCTGTCAGGGATCATTTGATGCTTCCCAAAACATGGAACAAGCAAGGCTCTGATCAGAACTGGTTTGGCCTACATCTTCCTTCCTTCCTTCCTTCCTTCCTTCCTTCCTTCCTTCCTTCCTTCCTTCCTTCCTTCCTTCCTTCCTTCCTTCCTTTTTGTAAATCTGCTGGAGCAAAAATAAGGAAGTCAGAATCAATGTCCCTGCTTCTAGAATGTTTTCTAACCAGGGCTTTTCAACCAGTGGTACGGGTACCACCTGTGGTACATTGGCACCTGGCAGGTGGTACGCGACCATCCTAGAAAAGTGGTAGCGGGAGAGGGGAATGAGCTGAACCGATGGCAGCACCGCACAAGCCTGAGCGAGAGACGGCTGGAGCTGCAGGGCTGTCAGGGCTCAGCCGAAGTGCCAGGATCAGCGCCAGGCTCCAGCTGGAGCTCGGCACTGATCCTGGTGCTTCTGCTGAGCCCAGAAGAAGCGCCGATCACCTGGATTGTTGCAGCATCCCCAGGGTCTTGTGATGTAATGTAATGTAATATTCAGCATCTGAATATTTATGACAGTCACAGTGTCCCAGGGTCATGTGAAGTGACCAAAACCTGCTGCAACCAATCAACAGACGGGGGGAATAAAAATCAAACACCCCCCACCCCACCCCCCGCTGCCAATCCTCAACAGACATGCTGACAACAATGAAAACCTCAGATAGGAGGAAGAGCGCCGCTGGATGGGCAGGCAGGTGTCTTGCTCGGCTGTGCCTTGGGGTGCACTTTTTTCAGTGCCATTGTAACTTCAAACAGTCACTAAGCGAACTGTTGTAAGATGAGGACTACCTGTACTTTATCACATTTTTTCCCTTTTTTTGTCATCATGTTTTTGACACCTTGCTAGGTGACTGGTGGTACTCGGATATTGCCATATCCTAAAAGTGGTACAATGAAAAGGTGTTCTAAACTCTCACTTGGGTGACCATTTATTTATATATTTTATTTTATTTGTATCCCATTCGTTATTATTTTTTACAAATAAATCAAGAGGGCAAACCTATCCTAGACTCCTTCCTCCTACTTTCCCCACAACAACAACCCTGTGAGGTGGGTTGGGCTGAGACCGAGAGACTGGCCCAAAGTCACCCAGCTGGCTTTCATCATTAAGGCAGGACTTATTCCTGTCCAACAGTTCATCAGTAAAAATAGGGGGTGCCAGGAGTACGGGTATTCTTACTCCAAAGTCAATTCTAAGCTACCCTCACAATTTATCACTTCACTAACCGTTCTGCTTCAATCCAAGTTTTTCCACAACCCTTTATTTTACACACAATAATCAGAAACAAGAGAAGTGTCATGGTCCCAACAGACAGAGATGAATAAAGCAGAACTCTGAGGCATGCAAGTTCCTCAAAGAACATGTTTATTAATTACAAAGTATTGGCACAGTCAAGAAATCTACACAAGGAATAATTCCCCAATACAAAGTTAAATGTCCCACCCACAAAAGCTATGTAAGCAACTATCTTCATCAATACAATTGTTTGGCGGGCTTTTTATGAAACACCCAGTCTCTAGTCCCGGGAGCAGCCAATGACCTTGGTTCCCATGGGACAAAAGATTATTTTGACTAGCAAAGCACCTGGGTAAAACCCCCCCCCCTTTCTCTGTTCTATGAGGCAACCGAAAATGAGTAGGAAAAATGGCTGCAGCCATGCTCATTTGTAGAGTTGACATGAAGGTTGCTAATCAGCAATTACTGTGTCCCAAAGGCCACAAGTGAATTTTGACAGCAGTTGGGTGCCATGGGAAGGGTTATGCACTTACCCAATGGCTACCAGAGGGCACAGGGCACAGCACTTATATCTGAGGACAAACTTGGGATGTTGCTTTCTGCAGAGAGACTCCTTTTGTCTGCAGTTACAAACTAGGCTAGGGACTGCAGTGCCCCCACCCCATTATCATCTTCTAAGAAGCTTCTGGAGCAAAGTGACTGACCTTAGTGGGCCAACGGGGCTCGTGGTTGGCCCTGCCATCCAACGTAAGAAAGTTCTGTTAAACAACAGGGCAGGCAATGTGCAAAGCATTCAGCCACATTTATCCTTTTTATAGGTGTGGGAGAAAGCAGCATGCTTGCGTTTTGCATTTCAGCAAGCAAGACAAAGTTGTCACTATCTGTATCTGATCAGAAGATGTAAAAGCAGAGATGTTGCAAACACACTGACCTAGTTCCGGGTCAGCCTCATCTGCTGGACCTGTAAAATCACAGTCTGTACCCCAGGCCTCAGATCGTAGTCACTGAAAGGTCCTACTGTACGTGTAGATATGTTGATTGGGAGCCTGGTAGCACCTTTTCCAACTAACTAATTGTATTAAAAGTTGTAAGCTTTCAAAAATCCTCATCATCCTAGTTGGCCCACAGATCTTCAGACTTTCCGGACCACCTTTTCCAACCTGAAATATTTTGCCATCCTGTGCATCAGGTGGGAGAAAGAGATCCAGGAGCCTTACTCATCTCCTGCCAGGGTAGGAAGGGGAGCCCTCTCTAATCTTCCTGCTTCAATGTATGGAAACCATCCGGGGCCTGGCAGAAGAGCTGTGAAGTAGCTGCTTGCCATCTCAGAGGGTTTGAGAAGGAGCTTCCCGATGTTGTCTTTTTCCCTCCACAGCGTGTTGCATACTTAAAAACTATCCCCCTTACTGACGGAGTCTTTCCCAAAAAGGTCCTCCTCTGATGGTAACAATGATCAGGTACCCAGACGAATCGGATGTCATGATGGTGGAGGAGGGCTTCACCACTAGGGACCTCCTGGACAGTCTCCTCCTCAAGGTTGCCCAGACGGTGAGGACCAAGACAGTTGGCTTTCCATGCACTGAGGACGGAGGGAGTGTGGGCATGGGTGGGTGGGTGGGTGCTCATCCCAGGGTGTGGACTGCCCATTGGCAGTTGTGGCTGAGCCATTTGGGGTAAAGAGGCCTCGATGTGCAAGACTCCACAGTGTACCCAGAATTCAGCTCTTCCATTGCAGAATTTATGCAACCAAACTTAAGTGCCCCCCCCCTTACAAAAGTGGAAGGAGAGTTTTCTGCTTGGTGTGTACAACTATCTTGTGAGGCAGGCTCCTAAGACAGGCCACGATGTCCAAACTAACATCCCTGTGGAGCTGGCTGGGGGTGTGGGGACACGGTGTCTGGAGGGAATTACCCTGACTCCAATCTTTATGGAAGTGGGTGCAGAACAGATCTCTTTCTGACGGTGCTGATTGTGTTTCTTCCTCTCCAGGGTAGCCGAGAAGCGTTTTTCGTGGCAAATCTGGAGGACGTGGTGAAGAAACATGTGCGCCTCCTCAAGGCCCTGCCACGGGTCACGCCCGTCTACCCCTTGAAGTGCAACGGCAGCAGGGGAGTGGTGCAGATGCTGGCAGGGCTGGGGGCCGGATTCAGCTGCACCAGCAAGGTGAGCTGGAGTGACCCGGGGGGGGGGACTGCAGGGTGCAGGCAAAAAAGTTCAGAGGCAGAGGGTTTCAGCCGCATGGAATCACATCAAGCCAGGCGCCCCAACCAAAGAGGCTCCTTGGTTGGGAAATGGGATGTCTCCAAGGGAAAGCAAAGGAAGCCCCGTTGTCTTCTCAAAAAAAGCACCGGGGGGGGGGCTTTCCCTTTCCATCCCCGGCAGGACCCCCTGAGTTGTGGAACTCTCCTGCAGCAGATCCGCCCTTATGTGCACGGAAAGAAAAGCATGTGTGAATGTCAGTCTTGGAATCTTGAGAGACAGCCTGGCTGCAGCCAGTCCTCCATTTACAACCATCCATTTAGCAACTGTTCGAGATTACAACAGCGCTGAAAAATGTAGCTTACGACCAGTCCTCACGCTTACCATCCTCACAGCCACAAGACCAGCGTGTATTTTCGATGGCTGCAGTGCCCCAGAGACCACGTGATTGCCACCAATGACAAAGTAAATGGGGTCACTGGATTTGTGTGATTCGCTTAACTACCTCAAAAAATCAGGCACAACCCACTTAGCCAGCACCTCATTTAGCGACAGGAAGTCTGATCCCAGTTGTAGTCATGAGTGGAGGTCCACCTGCAGTGGGGGTGGTCCTCGTCTCATGACCACAACTGGGATCATACTTTCTGTCGCTAAGTGAGGTGCTGGCTAAGTGGGTCGTGCCTATAAATTTTTACCTTTTTGTCATGGTAGTTAAGTGTATATCACATTTCTCCCATTTATTAAGGGCCCAACATTTCTCACTCTTGAGTAGATAATAGAGCTGAGCAGGCCACGGGACTTGCCACAAGAAAACACGTGCAGTGAGAACAACAGGAGAGAAAAGCAGAGTTCCGTGGGCGTTTGGCTCTCAAGCCCACCGTTGGCTTTCTGGATCCTTGACCCCTTAAGGTCAGCGTTTCGTGGTGACTTGGACCCTTTACAATGGCCTCTCTCCAGGAGGATTTCACAGGATGCAGGGATTTGAGGGTTAGTGCTGGTCTTGTATGGCCCCCATCAGCCCCAGCCCCAAGTTCGGATGACCATCTCTGGATGTAACCCCCCCAGACAGAAATGGACCTGGTGAAGAGTACTGGAGTTCCACCAGAGAGGATCATTTGCACCAGTCCCTGCAAGCAGATCTCCCTGATCCGATACGCGGCCAGCCAAGGGGTGCAGCTGATGACTTTTGACAATGAAGTGGAGCTTGGGAAAGTAGCACGGAGGTACCTGTCTGCCAGGTAGGGCATAGGCATCTGTAGACCTTATGCAGGAAGAGGCAGCTGCAAAAAATGGGGGAGAAATCTTGTTAGCCATATCTAGGCACTAAACAAGAAGACCTCAAGAGCTGTTGGGCTCCTAGAAAGAGTTTCTGGTAGGAGAGAAAGGGGGGGGGAGCAGGCAGAATGCATTTAGACTTGTAAGATTCTGTGACTTTAACCTGATAATAAAGGTAATATCAGCTTGCATGACTTTGGTTTGGAGGGCTGACAGTGTTTGTATGTATGGGAGAGAGAGAGAGAAAGATCATGTGCATCATTTAAATTAATTAAATTAATTATGTAATCTGTATATTTGTACAGTGACCTTGTGATGCGCAGTTGCATCATGCGAATAGAAGGGAAAGCACAGTTGTTAATTGTAGCTAAACAAGTCTGTGCTTCCCATTCCCCAGAATGATTCTGCAGCTGGCTACTGATGACTCCAGGTGCGCCAATCATCTCAGTGTGAAATTTGGGGCCACCCTTAAAACCTGCCGACATCTCCTCGAGATTGCAAAGCAGATGAACATCGAGGTGGTAGGCATCAGGTGGGGGAAGAGATTCTTTTCTCGTGCCAGTTGCCAACCCTCCCTGGGTTGAGTTCACTGAGTTCTTTCTTCCAATGGCCACGGTCCCTTCCCCCATGGCTGGAGGCCTCCGTGCCTGATTAAAAGACTGAGCAACAGGCAGTACCCAGAAGTACCTGAAAGCACCTGCCGTGAGGCCCTTGTGTTGATGTGCTCAGGAGGAGGCATGGGAGAACAGTGTTCCTTCGTGCTTTTCTCTGACCAAAGAAAGAAAACCATGGAGGTGTCCAAGATGGGGACCCCAATTATCTGGGTGGTGACCTATAGAAGCTGCCCCCCAATCAGGCAGAGGGCAACATCAGCAGTGCTCCCCACAGTTCCACTGAGTAAGTCTTCTAGATAGACATGTTCACAGGGAACTCACCTGCTTTCCTTTCTAGCTTTCACATTGGAAGCAGCTGCACTGACCCTCAGATCTTCACCCAATCCATAGCAGACGCTCGGCTGGTCATGGAAATGGGTGCAGAGCTGGGCTACAAGATGCGTCTCTTGGCCATTGGAGGAGGGCTTCCCAGTGCCGAGGAGTCCAGGAGGCACTTCGAAGAGGTAGGAGTCCTTATGCTTGAATCCTGCTTTGGGTGCCTTTGGGTAAAATGGCGAGCTCTCCGCTCTTCTCCCTCCCACCCACCGGACTCTTTCAGACAGCAGCTGTGATCAACTCTGCCTTGGACCTCTATTTCCCTGAAGGCTGCGGGGTGGAGATCCTTGCTGAGCTGGGGCGCTACTACGTGCATTCGGCCTTTACCTTGGTGGTCAGCATCATTGCCAAGAAGGAGGTTCCTCTGGGCCAGCTGTGCTCAGACGGTAGGTTCAGCGTTCCCAAGCGGATTTTCTCCCTCCCAGGGACCCTCCACCCTGGCTTACCGCCGGCACCTGGGGGCATAGAATACCCAAGGCTAGGAGGAACAAGCCACACCCTGGCCGGACACGCTGCCCCTAAATTGACCACGCCTGTCTTTCCTTGGAGGGGCAGTGCTGTCCTGGGAGTGCCCAGCTTTGCCTCTCTTGAGCCTGGCTGGACATGACCAGCTGGAAATCAAGAAGCCAACCTTTCCTCTCTGTCCATCCCGTTCTAAACCCAATGAAAGCTCAGCCTTATCAGGAGCTGCTTTGCAAACCTAGAATTTATTTTATTTATTTATTCAATTTATAAAGTGGCCCAATTCAAAACCACTCATGTTTAAAAATCGTGAAATCATCAACCTCGAGCAATACGTAGCGACTGAGTTCATTTCCGCAAAACACCTCTTGACCAGCACTCAGAGTCGGTCGAGAGGGACAGCAAGATTGGGGCTGTGCATATGTGGGGCGTAGGCTGCTCCACCAACAGACACCATGAGAGAGGCGGCGCTCGGTGGCTCCTCTCAGACGGCCCTGCTTGACAGGAGGGAGTGGGAGCCGACTGGCTCTTTCAGATCTGGTGGGCCCAGGCAGAATTCATAGGAGCCGAGTGGGCTGCAAACGACCTGGCCCTCTGTCCAGCTGGCCTCCATAAAGGATGATCGGCTGCATTGCATCCACCAGAAGCCAGGGCAGCTCACAGAAGGATGGGATAACGTGGGTACAAGGCCCCAGGTCAGCTCTAGGCCACGTGGACAGATAGGGCCACCTCCCATTGGCACAAATTTGCATTTTACCTACTTAAACATTTTTCTTGTGGCCTTTGTTTTGGGAAGGAAGGGCCAAATTGGCACCACCTAAGTTTTGGCGGCCTATTGTGCTTGGTCTTCCTCACCACAGCTGCGTTTCCTTATCAGCCTGGCCTGTAATGGAGAGGTTTCTGCTGCGCTGCTTTTCTCCCTTGGAGCATAGCCACCTCCCCACCTCCACCCAAAGGGTGGCCCAATTCTGGCTGGGCAGAGAAGTGCAATTCTGATTTTGCACTCTGACGTTCAATCCCCCTCCCCCCCAGGGTGGGAGGGCCGGGTGTCCAGTTTCCCACAGGTGGGAGGGTCTGCACTCAAGAGCGAAGCCACCCACCAACCTGGCTGGGGGCTTCCCATCAGCACCCGTCCTCCGCCTCCCAAGGCCTCCCTGACCGACTGCCGTTTGGTCTCCTCAGAGGAAGACGCTGAGGGCAAGAAGAGCTTTGTCTACCATATTAACGATGGCGTCTATGGGTCTCTTGGCTCGGTCCTCTTCAGCAACATCCGCCCCGTCCCCGTCCTGCCTAAGGTAAGGAGAAGCTCCTGGCTCAGCCAAGGGGAGCCAGAGTGCCCAGGCCGGCTCCCTCCCTCCCTCCCTCCCTCCCTCTGGGAGGCTTTAGGGAAGGAGCCCTGGGGCCCCCTCCCAGTCTCCCCTGCCGCAAGGGGCTCCCTTCTGGCCTTGGAGAGCAGCGGCTTGTGCTTTCGGTACAGTGCAGATCGCATAAGGAAGGCCAGCACAGTGTTGTGGGGCTAGAATCACTTCCACCCACAACCAGGGAAATCAGTGGGTGACTGTGGGCCCTCTCTCTTTCTTCAGCTTGCTGCTGTGGGGATAAGCAGAGAGGGGGGTCCCCGTGGAAGCTGCCCTGAACTCTTGAAGGCTGCTTACGTGGAAGGGTCTGCCTTGATGGGCAGCGGTTTTCCTGCAGAGCCATCCAGGCATACAAAGGGAGAGTAGCTAACATTGCAGTACTGGAAATTGTCTGCCATAGACATTCTGAATATCTAAAAATATATAAAATTTCTGCAAATAGGATTTAGGATTCTGAGAATTTATAAAACATCTCAGAATACAGATAGTCCTTGACTTACAACCATTCATTTAGTAAACATTCAAAGTTACAGTGGCACTGGAAAAAGTGACATGTTTTTCACACTTACAACCATTGCAGCGTGTGATCACGTGATCAAAATTTGGACGCTTGGCAACTGGCACGTATCTTTATGACGGCTGCAGGGTCCCAGTCAAAGGGAGAAGCCGTTCCCTTGACAAGAGTGCTGCTAACTTGGCAACTGCAGTGGTTGTACAATGGGGCTTCCTTAACAACCGTCTTGCTTGGCAGTGGAAATTTTGGACTCAATTGTGGTCATAAATCGAGGACTATCTGGAGATCATTACAGTCTTCAGAAAGTCAGCTTAAACTGTAGCTGTGGAGGATCCCAGAAGATCTGGCGGGTTACAGCTCTTTTCTCGTCTTTGCAGAAACCCCCACCAGATCTCCCTTTGCACAACAGCAGCTTCTGGGGACCGACTGGGGACAGGTTGGACCGGATTGCAGACGACCTGGAACTACCTGAGCTGCAGGTCGGGGACTGGCTGATCTTTGAGAACATGGGGGCCCACACTGTGCTCGCCCCCTCGTCTTCCCAGGGATCTCCGCCCACCCAAATACACTATGCTATGTCCAGAGGGGCCTGGTAAGATGGTTTTCAGAGTGGAAGGAAAGGGGGAGCAGCGCCTGCATTTCCACTCCACAAAGCCACCGGTTACGAAATAGAATCCACCAGGGAGCAGAAAATGCTGGCCTGGGTCTTGCTCTGGCCCCGAAATTGCACAGGGTGATCACGCAGAATGCTGAAACAATGAGAGCGTATGGACCGCATTCTTACCATACGAGACTCTCCCATTGTTTAAAAAATACAGAAGAATTACAGGCTACCCCAGAGCCTGTAGAGAGCCCAAGAGATGACTTGAAGAAACCAAATAGAGAAGCTGTGTACACAACAACGGGTGCAGAAGCCGGCACTGAGTCCAAACGGGAGAGAAAGCTCAGGCTGGCTCCCCTCCACCCCCAGTGCCTTAAGAGGGAGGGGAAGAGGAGAAACAAACAAAAAACAACAAGCAAGATTCTGTTCCTGGAGTCTGTCCAAGTAAAACAGAGTTCTAGTCATCTAATGGAGCCCGTTTCTGATCTGCTCCACCTCTTAGGCTGAGACTGCTGCAACTGATATTTTAGATGCCCGTTGAGTCACAGAGTGGGAACGGTCCCCTGGCCCCATGACCACTTAGCTCAGTTCCAGACGCTGAGCTGATCTCGGGTGCAAATCGACTTGTGAATAGTCTCAAGCAAAAGCTTTATTTTTAGTCACCTCTGTTACAAGAATCTCACTCGCCTGACTGCATCCCTTTGGGAAGGGCCATCTAAGGCTTCACGGGTCCTGGGAGAGGTCAGGCCTCTGCCACTTTCTGCAGTGCAAGGGCTCTCAGCTCAGCCCCCCCCCCCAACACCTTTCCCCAGCCTAACTGGAGATTTTCCCATAGCTGACTCCTTTCTCCTGCAGGGAAGCCGTCCAGCTCCTCCAGGGGAGGAGGAAATCGCTGTATCTGGAAGAAGAGGATCGGGAGAGCACGTGTACCCCCCCCTGCTGTGGCTGGGAGATCGCAGACACCCTGTGCGTTGCCCCTGTCTTCACTCCAGCAAGCATCATGTAAGCTGCGCCAGTCCTTCATCCTGGGGGCAGACCCCTCCCAGCAGAGTCCTGCCATGTCCTCTCCTGCCTCACCTTTTCCTCTTTTTGTCAATGGCAGCCTGCCTCTTGCATGTTCTGCCCTGAAGTAGGACCTGGTTTCTCCTCCTCCTCCTTCTTCCTTTCCAAGCAGTGTGGTTTTTAAGTATGCAACATAAATCCTGTTCCTCCTAGCTTGGTCTGGGTGTTCTTGAGGGCATATTGGGGGCAAAACCAGCAGAGGGATTGGAGGCCAGGACAGCCCCCTGCAGCTGTGCAAAGTGGGAAGGGTGGCCACAGCAGCCCATAGTTCTGCTGGCTTCCAGATGAGACAGTTCAGGAACTGCTGTGGCTGCACATTAGCGCTTCCTTCCATGGGGCGGAGTCTGATCTTCGGGGAGAGTTACTTTTGATGTGCGAAGGCAACCTGGGCATTTAAAATAACAAGGTGGAATCTACACAGGTTGAAGGGGTCCGGAACACCTGGACCCAGCCCTCACCCCACAAAAGCTAATACCAAAATGACATTTTTAATGAATGGGAAGTCACGTAACTAATGAGCCATTTTATCCATTACATTTAGTTAATATCATTTAAGTTAAATTGAATCTCATTTCATCTCCACCCCACCTGGCTGTTCAGAGTTCACAAGCTGGTACAAAGAGGCATGCTTGCTGCTCAAAAAAGATGTTCCATTTTTATGTCTTTCGCCAATGGGGACAAAATGGGGAGAAGAATGTGCATCCTGCCTTAGAAGTAAGCCTTCCAAACCCTTAAGGTTTACTTTCGCTGCAGTAGAACTCTGTTCAGTTCAACACCTGCATTATGCTTTTAGAGAATGTGAGGCCACAGAGACATTGGAATGCAACTGAGAACACAGTTGTGGTTAGATTTTGGGAAGAATCCAGAAAGTTAGGCAAAGGGAGGCCTAACTTTTCCAGAGATGGACCGCAGCTGCCTCTCTTCCAAGTTAAAAAAAACATGAGTTGCTTCTTTGGGGCTCAGCATGTTGCTACTCCCACCCCCCACCACATATGCTGGCTAAAGGGTTAAGCAGACTTCTGCACAGCGCGTCAGAAGGGACGTCTGCATTCATCCTTCAGAGATGGTGCATTTCTGCAAATGTAACGTTCTGACTAGGGGGCTGTCAAACAGGAAAGCACAGAACAGGCAGTCAGATCAACACAGGACACCTACCTACACATAACACATAGTTGGGAATTGGGAGATGTGCGCATCAGCCTGTCTGCAGCCATCTGCAACCTGTGCTCACGAATCTATTCCTGCAACCCCTCTGTGTAATCGCGGGCAACTCTAAATTGGCCTTGATGCAACAAGCAAAGGTCAAACCAGCTGAGCTGCCAAACCGCTTCCTATCCATGGCCACCAGAGGGTGCTGACAACGAGGCAGCAATTCGATCTAACCTCTCCAGAGCTAAGCCTTGTAGAACATAACATACATACAGATTTAGCCCCCGGAAGTTGCCTGTCAGAACGAAGGGATGGAGTCCTCTACCCTTTCGCCCCTCTATGGTGCATACGTACTTCAGGGCGCCGCCCTCTCCCGGCGCGAGCGTCGTGAAGGGAGTTCGCGCGACGGCCGCGGTGACGTAAAAGCACCGCAAGGACGGCGGCGAGGGAGGGAGCGCCGGCGCCGCTGCCCGAGGAAAGGTAGGCGGGGGCGACGGCGGGGGCGGTCCCGGGTGCGCGCGGCTGGTGGGGGCTCCTTCGGCCGGCGCCTGGCGTGGCGACTCCCACCGCCCGCGGCCGGAGCTGCCTCAGCGGCGGAGGAAGGGCCGGTCGCGGGAGGGACGGGCAGGAGCCGGGCGCTTTCCAGCCCCCTCCGCGGGCGAGGGGCGGGGCGGAGCCGCAGTCCCGGTTGGCCGCCCGCGAGCGCCGCGGGCCGTTGGCAGACAGGCGGACCGGCACCCGCCAGCGGGCAAGGGAGGCGGAAGGGCCCGGGCGGCGTGCAGGGGGCAGCAGGAGAGGAGAGGAAGGGCGGGAGAAAGCGGCAGAGCGTGAAACGCTGCCGGAGGGAGAGCAGCAGCCCTGCCGGGTGCGGTGCCAAACAATCCGGAGCAGCCCTTGAACCCCCGCCCGCCTTGGCAAGGTCACCCTCGGTCAGTTGCAAAGGGCGGCTTTGCTTGGGACAGGATTGTCCGGAGACGATGCTATATCAGTGGCCCCGGTTCTTGGGAAGGACTCGATGAGGGGGGGATAAAAGTGCCAAATCCTGGCCAAACATCTGGCTGACTGCGCAACCCACTATGACTATAATAATACAATGCATTCCTGAGATGGCTGTTCTGCCTGTGGCTAGAATTCGTGGGGAGTTTCTGTGTGTGCAAGTGAGGAAAGTGCAGTGGTGAGATTCAAATACGTGTGAACAACCGGTTCTGCCAAAGTGGTGCGAACCGGCTAAATCCCCCCCCCCAGCTTTTGCTATAAAAATGGACCTTCCAGAAAAAAACAAGGTCTCTGCCCATTATTGAAGCAGGCTACACTTGATTGAATAAATACTTTTGCAAGGATTAATCCTCTCCCCTTATTCAGCTTTTATGCCAAATATATATTAATCAATGAACCGTGGTGTTCACTTTATGGCAGCTATTGCATTTCTGTGGTTTGGCAGAGGATGAACATGTTTTTAAAATTGAGGAAAACACAAATCATTTGTACTGTGCTGATAGCATTACCCTGATAGTTGAAAATGCAAAGGTTCAGCAAGTTCTAGTAATAAAAGTTTAAGGAACAAAAAATGGGTCTAAAATTAAATGTAAAGAAGACCAGTCTCCTGGCATCCGTAGAACAACCTGCTTTAGAATTGGCAGTGAATATATGGAAGTAGAGAGCTTCTGCCTCTTAGGATCAACCATCACAGTCGAGAAATACACCATAGTCTAGATTGGCGAAATAGTGAAGGCCTTGGAAAAGAGATTCAGATGCTGTATCTAGCCCTACGAAGATCAGAATTATGCACACAGAGGTTTTCTTTGTAATCTTCTTTGAAAGCAGAAGTCGGAATTTGAAGCAGGATAGAAAGAGTATTGATAACTTTGGTGTTGGAGAAGACACCTGACAATGCATGAACAGCGAAAAACACAAACCAATGGACCATTGAACGAATGAACCCAGAATTCTCACTCAGGGCTCAAATGATCCTATTTCAGACACATGGAAACTCAGTTCTCTGGAAAACTATGACTGATAAGAGTGGTATGAATACTGAGGGGAAACTAAGCTTCAATAAGAATCTTGAAAACAGGACATATAATGATTTAATAAGATGACTTATATAAATACAATGAATAAGCTGATTAAAAACATAGTTGTTATATGCATAAATACTAAAAACGTTTATATTCAACTTGGTATATACTGAAAATATTAAGAATTATATTTGTTTAATGTAGACAAAAGAATATTACAGGAAGAAGAGAGGATCAAGAAATATATTACCAACATATTGATTAATTGTGGAAATTAATTATTGTTTTAAATATGATGAACCCAGACAACACACTGTTCATGAAGCACTAAAGATTGTTATTGTAAAAAATTTATAAAATATATTTTTTTAAAAAAGAGAAAGTAGATTTTTATTCCTCCAGTGCCTAAGATGATTTACCCCTGCATATGAAAATGAGGCTTTTTGCCCTTGAAAACCTCCCCTTCTGTTACTTGGACAGGGCCTTCCACACCTGAAGCTGCTCCCAACTCCATCCCATCCCCACTCCTGACCGGGGACTTAATCCTTTCTTGCCCCTTACATTTCCCTTCTGCCTTTCAGCCATGCCACTTCTTGATCTCCAAAACCAGCTGGGCATTAACCTAGACAGATGGATGCTCCGCCTGAGTAGCAAGCAGTCCTTTCAGCAGCCCAGCGTGTGCCACACGTTTGAGAAGGAGTGGCTGGAGTGCTCGGAAGGCATCGGGCTGACCCGGGCCAAGGAGGAGTGCCGTCTGGAGGCCGAAGATCTGCAGGAATGCATGACCAAGCGCAAGATGGTGAGAGGGGCATAGCTGAGACACGCGACGCCTTGAGTCCTTCTCGGGGAACGCGGGTGTTCCGGCAGCAGGCTGGGCGGGCAACGAGGATGGGGTTGTTTCTTCCCCAGACAGGCGGGTTACTATGGTCTGCTTCTCACTTTGGTACCATCTTGACTGGCTCATCCACTGCACTAAAGCCAAAAGGGGGGTTGATTGAAGGGTGTAGCTGCTACAGTTACAAACATTTTTAAAAAATATTTTGGCAACTTACGTGACCCAAACAAATTGCGATTTATGTAAAAATAGTCCCCTAAAAAGTTTAGCTCAGGACAAAGGGCATCTAGGCGCTGTGTATGGCCCTGGACCACCAGTGGGAGATGGTGAGCAAGAGGCTAGAAAGGGGAAAGCCAAGGGCTGCATCTGCCCCAGTCCCTGTTTCATCACAACTGGAATGTGATGGACAAATAGCTGATTTCCAGTGCTGTTATTTTTCTTCCCTTTACTAGACATGTTAGAATTTGATTCTTCCTGATGGAATCACTGGCCATAATAATTATTATTACCAATAATAGCAAAAAGCATGTCTTTAAATTGCAGTGACAGCTGAGTTCTTTCGTGAAAAGTGAAAATTTTATATGAACTGTGATAGGAATAAGTGAAAAAACAAATACAAATGGGCCAGTTACATCAGACAGGGTCGCGCTTACCCCAGCTCCAGCAATGCAAAAAAAGTCACAATATGTCACATGTCATGTGATGTGGCAAGTTTGACACCCGTGGTATAGGTAATACCTTGCTCAAGAGTAGTAGCTGTGAGAGGAATCTTGGAGCCCTAGTGGACAATCACTTAAATATGAACCAACCAACATATAAAGAATGGTTGCTGGAATTGGGTATGTCTAGTTTAATGAAGAGAAGGACAAGGGGGGACATCATAGCAGTGTTCCAATATCTCAGGGGCTGCCCCAAAGAAGAGGAAGTCAAGCTCTTCTCCAAAGCGCCTGAAGGCAGGACAAGAAGCTACGGATGGAAACTAATCAAGGAGAGAAGCAGCCTAGAACTAAGGACAGTTAGAACAATTAATTAGTGGAACAACCTGCCTCCAGAAGCGGTGAATGCTCCAACACTGGAAGTTTTTAAGAAGAGACTGGACAGCCATTTGTCTGAAATGGTATAGGGTTTCCTGCCTGAGCAGGGGGTTGGACTAGATGACCTCCAAGGTCCCTTTCAACATCATCATCATTATACATGTTACCACTTCCATCTTGTGTGGGACAGGAGAGGCCTATGATTTCATTCTGACCCCGTCTTTTCTGCTCCTTCCCTTTTGCAGATGCAACGTGTCCGAGCCATCTTGAAGCAAAGGGACTTAATGATTAAGGAGGGGAAATACACGCCACCCAACTACCAGAGTGACTGAAAATTTGGCTGTGATCCCCAAGGAGAAAACTTCCTTTGCTCCCTAGAAGCCGAAGAGATCTGTTCTTAATACTTCGTTAAAGAATGGTTTCGTTGGAACCTTTTCATTTCTCTTTTGGTTTCTAGTCCAGCCCATGAATAAAATTCTTTGGGACCTGAAATGTAATTGGTTGAGTGGCTCCGCCTGTGTGAGGTCAAAAGTATAAATCGCCCCTTGCAAGAAGAATTGGGACTACCAGTGTGCCAGTCAAACACTGCAGGCTCGAGAATTTTATCTTGCATAATAACTAGATGTTTTTCCCTGTGTTGGCTAGTGCCACTTGGACTCTTTCCCTAATGTGATCCTGCTTTCACGTTGCAGTCTCTTTTACATCTTCCTCCCCCCCCCCAGCTTTGGTTGAGCTAATTCATATTTTGTTGGCCGAATATCACCCCAGCTGTCCTGATGCGTTGTTCCTTCATCATTTGCAGGCCTCCCTTTTCACTTTCTCCTTTCCGCTGTTGGCAGCACTTTCCATCCTCTCCTGGGACCGCTGAGCTTCCAGAGACCAAGGCCTGCCATGGGACAGGCACATCACCCTTCGGCTGCATGCAGCCTCCCCAGTCTCTCTCTTCCCCCACAAGTGCTCAGTTTCTAGCATTTTCCCTCTTGCTGATTTCCAATGTGAGGCCTGTAACTTCTGAAACTCCAGTTGTGGATTCCAGTTGGCCCTGACCAGCAAAACTCACAGCGATGCACGCAGATTGGGGCAATTTAAAAGGAGAAATTTTAACATTTTAAAAAACGTATTTCAAAGTGGACATGCTGCTACTTCTTGCAACTCATTGTGGTTATGAAGAAGGATTTTATGAAAGTGGGATGGGGTTGGGGTCTCCTTATTTAGTAGGGTGGATTTCAGCCCCTTGCTTGTCCTTGGCACTTTCCTTGATCGAGAAAATGATGCCCATCCTGGTGTTGTAATTGCTTGGGAATGCAGTAGCTGCTTGTAGGAATAGGGTGGTTGGTAAGTCAAAGCAGATTCTGGGAGGACTGTTCTATTCCTATTCTGTTCTATTACTATTGGGGGAGGGTGCCTGCAGGGGGAATATTATCTGCTTCCTTCTACTCTGTGCGAAATGCCCTCCCTCTGGGTGAGAGAAATGCAACCTGAAAACATCTGCCTTATCTCCAGACAGCAGAGCCTGGGACCATAAACTAATGGAGACCTTGAGATGGTCGCTAAATCTCCAGCTTCTCATAACACTGTGGCATCTGGATTGGCTGGATTTCAACCAGACGGTTGGACACTGGGAGGAGTAGTTTTGAATTCCCTTTTTGATGTAATCCTTTGCACGCCAAATCTTCAGATCTTGCTTTGCTCTCTTGCTATCACTAACTCTCAATAAAAAGTTCCTTTTGAGACAATTCCTGTTTCAAGAGTTCTGCTTTCTTGGGAGATCTAGTTGAGGCAGGTTCTTACATAAAGCAAAGTCTGCTTTAGTGCCCAACCCAGAGAGGCATCTGCCCTACCAAGGGGGCCATGCACAGCATGTCTGCATGGCAGTGAAAGGGAGAAGTTGGAATCGAAGACTGCAGTGAGGCAGCCATTCAGATTTATCCTGGAGAAGCCCCCCCCCTCCAACCTGGGTAGAGGAAGCCTCTGCTCTAGAAGACGCCTTGAGGCCGAGACAAGGTGGAGGTGGTTGCTCCATATCGGGAGGAAAGTCCCAAAAAGTAATTCTCACCCGAGGAGGTCAGAAAAAGACTCACAAGAAAAGAACTGAGCTGCTTTCCAATGATGAAGACCTGGACCCGCAGTTGGATCCGATGGAGGGGATCCTGAAGTGAGCCATGCATTACATGGTGGAAGCTTTCGAGGACCTAAAAGCCAAATCCCTGAGCTGCCCAGAAAAAGAGAAAGAACTGACTGAGGACAGAGGCAGTGGCAGCTACTCTTGGTAGTGTGGCAGTGAGCAAACCCACCCATCCCCCAGAGCCAGGACCCAACCACTGCCCAGAGGGAGAATTCCCCCGGAGGAACCAAAGCTGGTTCCCTTGGGAGTCACATTCGATGGGGATCCTCAGCGGTTGGCTCACCTCCTTCCCTACTTCAGGTGTATGGGAGGTCGCTACCCAAGGATGCAGCCAAGATCTGGGTCTCCGCCCTGGCCCTGGAAGGAACCGCCGCCAGGTGGATGGTAACCCTATATAACTGCAACGGCCCCAGCCCCAGAACTTGAAGCGCTTCGTGACCGCACTGAGACGCCCTTTCGAAGACCGCCTGGCAGACCGGACTGGCGTCTCTGGGAGCCTGTCCCGCTTCTCGGGAGGCCCGGGCCGGCTTCCCCCTTCTGCCCTCGCTGCTTCGGGGAAGCCGGTCGGCGGGAGAGGCGCCCCTCCCTCCCTCCGTCCCTCCCGGCAGCCGCTCCAGCACCCAGCAGTGCGCAGCCTGGCCGGAGCTGACGCGGGCGCATGCTCGGAGCCCCGCCCGCCGCGGACTCCCCCGGGCTGCTAGCCCCGGGCATCGACGGGCTGGGGGGGGGGGAACCGCCTCGCGGCAGCGCTACGAATTGGCGGCGCCAGGCCGGTGTGTGTGTGTGTGTGTGTGAGAGAGAGAGAGAGAGAGAGAAAGACGGAAAGAGAGAGAGAGAGAGGCAGGTGTCTTCCGACTGCCGTGCCTGGGGCGGGGGGGGTCACCGGGAGGGCCGCTCTTCCTCCGTGCCCCGCGGAGCCCCCGCCCGCGCTCAGCCTCGGTTCGGCGGGGGCGTCGCGGGGCGGGCCCGAGGCAGCGGCGGGGCGGCGCCTGTGCGGCAGCGGCGGCAGGAGGAGGGAGGCGGCCGGCTGGCAGGCTGGGCTCTCGCCGGCTGATTCCCTCGCTCGCTCGCTCGCTCCCGGGTCTGGCTCGGCCGTCGGGAGAGCGCGGAGTGGCGTCCAGGGCAGCGCCTCGGTAAGCTGGGCGGCGGCCCCTCCACCCCACCGCGGCACCCGAGCCGAGCCGGGGCGGCGGAGGCTTGGCGCCCACTGCGAGCGGAGGCTGCGGGCGGCGCGGCAGCCCCTCCGGCCGGCAGAGGGGGGGGCTCCGTGGAAGCGGCCGGCCGCTTCTCCCTCCCCCGCCAGCAGCGAACGCTCCTCCGGCGGCGGCGAGGAAGCCCCCGCCCGCCCCTGCCGCTGGCGCTGCGGCCCCGGGTGGGACGGGATGGGACGGGCTGGGGGGGGGAGGCTCGCAGATTCTTGGGGACCCCTCCGCTCGGGAAGGCTCCCCCCGCCGCCCCGGAGCGCCCGTGGGTGCCTGTCGGTGACAAGCGGCGTCTTCCCGGCGGTTCTGGAGTGGGTGTGTTCCCAGGAAATCGGGAGATTTGGGGGGGGAGGGTGGGGAGCCCCTCTTGCACGCTGATGGCGCCCGAAGCGCTTCCTCTCCCGCGGGGGATTTTATACGGGAACGGGTGAGAATTCGATGCAAAAAGGGATTCTCGCCCCCTCCCCCCCTTTGGGCAGAAGCCCCGAAATGTGCGCGGGTCTTTGTTCTCTGCCGCTGCCCGTATTAAATTGTTTACTGATACAACGTCTACCTCTCGTTCTTAATTCCGGCGTTTTAATTATAGCCACCCTCAGGAAGCGATCAGCCCCCAAGCTCCGTAATCTTAACGTCCGATTGTTCTGTATCTCCCGGTAGATGCCACTTCTGGAGGGAGCAGTTCCTAGTGTTGTTGCTATTGTGGTTCCTCCATCACATTTTAATCCTGTTTTGTTCCTGATGTTCCCGTGGTATAAAATCCTGGGTTGGTCTAGATGTGATCAATTGATTGAGGGGGATTTAAAGCACCCAGCATTCGCGATCTTTTGTATGTTTCTGAATGTTATATGTTATAGAAGGCAAGACCTCCCCAGTTTGGCTCCAGCGATCATGGGGGGGAGGAGGGGGCCATTGTTCAGCACATTCCATTTAGTTAATTAAAAGGGGGGAGGAAATCAAAGCTGCAGATGTGTTCGCTTGAGGCCAAGCTGTGCAGATCTGAGGGAACAGTTTGGAAGGATTTCTCCTGCCCAAAATGAGGGATGCTCCATCCTCCCCTCCCCCTTCCTTTTCTCACTGAGCATCTTGGATAATAAAAGGGGCCAAAGGCATTCATATTCAGGACCACCACCACCCCTCCCAGGCTGTGGGGCACAGGTGCAATAAATAAAATGTGCATAATGGTGGCACATAAAGGAGCTCCATCTTCCTGCAAGGAAAAATCACAAGTTGTGAGGGATTTAGGAGAGGAAGTGTTGTATTGGATGGAGGGGGCACCTGAGAGAAAAAAAATGTTAAATATCTTTAGCACCAATCTGGACAATGCTGGCTTTGTTTTCCAAAACTGCTAAGCTGCCCAGATCTGTGAGAATCATACAGGGCTTAATTTGGGCTTTCTGGGATTGTTTGTGGGTCACGTTCCTACTTGTAGAAAGCCTGTGAGAGACTCACAATGTGCAGAGTGTCTCTCTGGCACGAGGGACCCCGTCAAGAAATCCAGCCCTCCAGAAAGCAGCTTCTTTGTGTGTGTCAGGCCGGGAGCACATCGCACTTGATCTGCGAAACCTTGGGAGCTGCATCCCCTCCTGCACTGTGGCCCGTGGGGGTGGTGTATCGCTGTCCCCCTTTAGTTGCACCATCCAAGGCAAGTGGGCCTAGCTAGGCCAGTGAGCTGGGCATGCCTTGCCTTGTTCTAAGGGTGTAAGGATCCCTCCTGACCCAGCTCTCCCCACTCCTGCCCCAGTTTGCCTTAGAACAAAGGGGCACCTTTGCTGGAGAGTCAGTTCGGGAAGGAGGCGGAGCTGACACTGAATTGGGAAGCCTCTAAAAGCCTATTTCAGAGCAAGAATTCTCCTCCTGATGCTTTCTTATCCCCGGCTTATTTTTTGCATGAATCAGGGAGTCCCAAATAGCAGTTCAGAATTGTACCAGTGGCTCAGTGCCACTGACGCCATGCCTGGTTTCTTGATCTCCTAGTAGAGGCTACAGAGAGAAGGTAGGAAAGCCAAATCAGCAGCTCATGGTGCCTCATTTTCACAACTTATTCATTTATTTATCCAATTTATATGGCTGGCCATCCCAACATGTGACTCTGAGCATGAACTTGGTTCCTGAATTAATCTACTTTCTCATCTGAGGCCTGTGTTCCCATACAGGTTAAATCAAAATAATAGCAATGATTAAAAATCTAGTCACATTTAGCATTTGGGGCAGAGCAGCCACTAGATCTGCAATGACCTGGCTTGGTGTCTCCTGTGAACACAACCCTTAAAGAATGGCTCAGTGGATGAGTTCTTTTAGATGACTGGTCTTTCTGCACACGCTGCTAGACCCTGATGTGAATCCGGGGTGAGACTGTCCTAAAATGAAAATTAGGGCTTTCTGACCCACTTGAGTTTCACGGGCAAAAATGAGGGTTTGAATCGTTGGGAAAATGAATGAAAGGACCACATGGGGTGGAGAGGATCTGCTTGGAAGAGATTCCAGTTCCTGGCTTTGCAGGGCATCAAATACATCCTTTAGTGAGCTTGCAGGATGAAAATCAGCCCTCTTTGCAGAGGACTGTTTTTAATACAGTCTGCCTGTTAAGGAAGAAACACTTTTCTGCCATATTTAATGCATTTTAGTACATTTTGAACATCATCTATGTGCTCACGATGGTTCCACCAGTTGCATTAATTTGTCATCTGCACTCCAAGCCTCCTAAGAGTGGAGGTCATCCTGAAGGATGTATCCTGAAGAAACTTTATTTGGAATCCTGCATTTTCTAAACTAAACTGAACTAGGGGGACTCTCCCTCATTCAGCAATCCTGAATTAAAATATTCTGAGAGAGGGAAAAAATATTTTTGGGTTAAGCTCCTTCTCCTGCCTAGACAAAATTCCCATTTGAATTCTTTATAGTTGGAATACGTTTGCTCAATCCCCCATCATTGCAGGATAATGGAGCAAGGCAGCCAGAATGCGAAAGATGCTAAATGCACAAGGTTATTAATTAGCACAATAACTGGAGCAGTGTCTTTAAGAACCTTAAGGCTTTTTGTTTTTGCACAGAGAGGCTATGTTCAAGCAAAACACTTAGCTTGCTAAATTTGTGGGCTTTACATAATACCACCAAACTTGAAAAAGCCAAATGGCCTGGATCCAGAATGCATGCTAAACCACACGTATACACAGCAAGCAAAGTTAACACCAACTAAGAACATCCTGTGAGAATCCAGATAGTAGCAGTTTAATTAACTTAATTAGGGCTGTGAAGTGAATCCAGCCAAAATGCTTGCTTCTGGGTGCAGTCTGGAGGTCAGCTTGATGGTCCATCCCCACTGTGAAGGCTGATCTTTGGCATTCCCTCCCTTACAAGGCACTGTCTGGAAAAGAGGGTAACTCTACTGGCGTTAGAAGGTGACAGTCAATAGAGCTTTCCTTTGGGTCTTGGGCTGCCTGGGAAGAGTCAGCTGAAGTGTGCCACAATGGCAAAAATGCATCACAACCATTTGCAGGCCAGTTCAGATGCAGACATCTGCCCCAATGGAAAAGGTGGGTTTGCTCTGGGTCCCTTCTATTCATCTTATGGGACCCAGGGTAAGAGAAGAGCAGGCAGAACCTGGGGGTGGAGTTAAGAGAGAACTCAGTCTAGAATCCTTACATGTTCACAAATGATCCAAATCCAGCCCCTGTTGAACTCAGGAGGACCCTTTATTTGGGCCAGAATACTAAGCAAGCCTTGTTGTCTGTTGGTTGGTTTTTTTAGGGATTGTGAAGATGGCGTGTTCTTGGATCTTGGCTATTTGTGTATTTATTTATTTTAACAAATGGCATTATGTTGTCTTGTGGTTCTTAATCTTCTGTTCATTGGCTAGAGATACTGTTGTGAGGTTGACACCTATACAAATCATTTAAACAAACAAACGAACGGTTGCTTTAGATAGCCCTCCCCTGAGCATTGCAAAGGGTGTAGCAGCTGCTTGGATGGCAAGCAAAGTCTGTCTGCCCATTTTCAGCCTTCTGACTTTTCTGTCTCCTCATAGGTTGGTGGATTCCAAGGTTCGGCAGCACCTCTGGGCTTGCCGGGGTCTTCCTCCCTGGGGCCATGTCTTCCTCTGATGAAGAGACTCTCAGCGAGAGGTCCTACCGGAGTGAGCCGTCCTGCAAGAGTGAACGGTCGTACCGCAGTGAGCGGTCTGGCAGCCTCTCTCCTTGCCCGCCAGGGGATACTTTGCCCTGGAACTTACCTCTTCACGAGCAGAAGAAGCGGAAGAGTCAGGACTCCATTCTGGATCCAGCAGAGAGAGCTGTTGTCAGAGTAGCTGGTAAGGAAAATAGTTCTCTCTCCAAATTTAAGCAGGTGATTTCAGAAGATGAGAGATCTACAGCAGTGGGGTTCTTCTGGGCGGTTTCTCTTCAAATTTGATGGCATCGTCCTTTCTGCAGTGGGTCCTACAAATACTCAGAATGGAAGTTCAGAAACTGGTTGCCTTTCCTGGAAGGTTGTTTGAAATGTCAGTGGAGTCTTAAGGACATCCAAGAAGAGAGGAAGGGAGAGCATGAGCAGAGGGAGAAAACTACGGGGACGCCCTAGATGTCCTCTGGGGAGTGGATCGGTTAAGTTACCTTTGCTTCTACTCACAATGTGCCTGCTGCAAAAAATGTCATTTTGCCACCCAGTATGGTGGGCTTTGGATACTTCAGAAATCCTTCAAGTGAGGAACTGCATATGTGTCTCTCTGTCCATAGGCAATTTCTGGAAGCCATGAGGTCAGTTGGGTCATGACATTATCCCAGGTGTGACACGAAGATGTGTTAGACACATCATGTCAATGATGTATGGCACATGGTTATTTGTAGGATACACTGCTGTACAATGATGTACTGATTTTATTTCTTCTTATAGGATGGATGCAGCTTGCTGCAACCAGCTTATCTTACCTAAAAATAAGGGAAAGCATTTCTTGGTGTCAGGACTTTGGATTTTATATATGTGCAGATTTTCTTGACCGATCATTTCCTTGTTTACTGCTTAGGAATTGTTTTCTTTCCAGTTTTGTAGGGTGGCTGCTGGGTGTGTGTGTGTGTGTGTGTGTGTGTGTGTGTGTGTGTGTGTGTGAAAAATGTCAAATGGTGGCCATGACTGCATAAATGGAGCTCTGCCATTTCTTATTATGTTTTGGAAGGGATGCAGGTACAAAATGTAATCACAGCTATCATCTTGCCTTGTTTAATACCTTTGCATAGTTGTAAGAATTTCACTCTGGGCTCTATAATCTTTTCTAGGACAAATCTATGTTGCTTCCGTATTTCCTGACTATTGTGAATATAAACTGAGATCCCTTGAGGGATTAATTGATTGAGTTTTGATTGATTAGACAACAGCTTAATTCATGAATGAAATATAGTTACTAAGACCTTGGGAAGGTTTTGCAAACTACCAGTTTCTATGCATGAGGTCCCAAAGCCCGATCATGAAAAGTAAAGAAGAAGTAAATGAAAATGCCCAGCAAGCCACCAAAATCAAGATAAGCCAAGGTCAGGAATCTGTTGGTTTTTTTCAGAAAAGGTAGGTGTGAAATGTTTTCATTTTGAAGTCCAGCTCCATATTTGGGCATAAACCAACCTTTAGCCTCCCAGAGTTTGATTAATGAAGAGAAGATCTTTGTACCCAGAAGCTGAGCATGGTTGGACCTGGATACTTCATCTTAAAAGAATCCCAGGACTGCAGGCTTGATAGGGAGGTTGAAAAAACACTTTGAAAACTGACAATGACAGACACCTTCTTAATTGCTGCCAATAAAGCTATACGTGTGAGTTCATGAAGTTGATCAACTTGAAGGAGACTTCATGTTGAAGCTGTGCTTTGTACCTTTTGCTTTATAGTGTTTGCATGAGGCATGTTTCATTTAATAAATTTGAAATAAACAAGGTACCTGGAGATAGCAGGTTAGTCTCGTCCCACCTGCATCCCATCATTGTATCTAATATTCTTGAATACACCCTCTGGTGTGATCTGTTTTTAACAAACCCGTGCTGGCTACTAGTTATGACTTTGTTTGCTTCTAGTTGTTCGCAAATCTGTTTTTTGATTATCTTTTCTAGGATCTTCCCAGATATTGATGTTAAACTGATTGGTCTGTAGTTTCCTGGGCCCGTTTTTTTCCCTTTCTTGAGGATGGGGACTACATCAGCTCTTTTCCAATCCTCGAGTACTTCCCTGGTGCTCCAGGATTTGTGGAAAATGTGGTGCAACGGTTCTGAGATAACATCTGCCAGCTCCTTCAAGAACTCTGGGATGTAATCTGTTGGCTCCTGGTGATTTGTATTTGTCAAGATAGGATACATATTCTCTTACCATTTTCTTGCTTATTTTGATTTTTGTTTCTAGTATGTCTTTTGCAGTGGCTTTTTTGGTGTGTTGGGCTGTGGTTTCTTTTTGTGTGAAGACTGATGCAAAGTATGAGTTAAGCAGCTCAGCTTTCTCCCTGTTGCCTGTAATTTCCTTGCCATCTTCTCTCTTTAGTGGGCCTACAGTTTCCTTGACTTTTTTCTTGTTAATATGTTTTTTATTGTCCTTGATCTCTGTTGCAAGTCTTTATTCATTCTGAGTCTTTGCTTTCCTGACTTCATCTTTGCATGTTCTGGTTATTATGTGCCCCTCTTTCCATTTTTTTGTATTTGTCCTTTTTGTCTTTTAGTTTGTTAGTGAGATCTTTGTGCAGCCATGCTGGTTTCTTCTTGGATTTCTTGTTTTTCTTTCTCAATGGTATTGTGCTGATATCAGCTTTTTGATCATGTTTTTCAAGATTTCCCATGCTTCTCGGGTTGCTTTCTCTTTTAGGATTTTCATCCATGGGATCTTTCCTAGGTTCTCTTTGAGCTTGTCAAAGTTGGCTCTTTTGAAATTTAGGACATCGGTTGGGTTGTTTTCAATTGCTAGTGTTTGCATTATATTAAATTCCAGTATGGCGTGGTCACTTTCACCCAAGGTTCCAGCAGTTTTGATTCCATCACTTCTTCTCTGTTAGTAAGAATTAGATCCAGTATAGCTTTATTTCTAGTTCCCTCCTCCACCTTTTGGGGAACAAAGTTGTAGGCGATGTTGGTTAGGAATCTCTTTGACCTCGCACTCACTGCAGAGTTTATCTCCCACTTGATATCTGGATAGTTGAAGTCTTCCATTACTACTGTGGTATGCTTCCCACATATATTTGTTAACTGGCTGGTAAAGAGTTCATCTATTTTTTCTGATTGGTTGGATGGCCTGTAATATACACCTATGGCAATGTTACTTTTTTTTCTCTTTTATATTGACCCATATGCATTCTGGAGGGATTTTATCTTGGATCATGTGCATTTCTGTAGATATGTAGTGTTCTCTTACACATAGTGCAACTCCCCCTCCTCTTTTTGTAGACCTGTTTCTTTTGAACAAGTTGTATCGATCCTGATTTTCTTTGTTTTCATTGTCAATCTAAATTATATTATTATGGTTGTTCTTTCTTAAAATCTTATTTCTCTGCTGTTTAGAAATTTTATGGATACTTTTTTGAATACATTGCTGCTATTAAATTGTTTTTATATGTTGAGGTATGATTTTGAGGTGTCTTGTTGAGCAAAGGACTATTTTGTCTTCCATCCATCACAAGGGGGGGGGGAGGAGGTGATATCACTGGAGGAGCCCCCTGTGGTATTTTTTCTTTTTTCCATCTCATAAACAATTGAGGATTGTTTTATTTTACTGCTTGTTTGTTAAAAGGGTAAAAATCCATCATAATTTGGTTGTTGTGTTCAAATTTCAGAAGCTGTGAAAAGGCACTTGGGATTTCCTGGAGCAGAGTTGGGATGGGGCAGTCCTAGCATAAAAAATGTTGAAAATTGGATTAAAAAATGAAATTGACTTAAAATAATTTGGGAAATTGACCAAACTGGGAAAAAGATCCTTCATTTATTTCTAGGATAATTTCAGTCAAAGATTGAAATTATTACCGGTAAGTTTGTACAAATCTTGTATTTATGCAGAATTTTAAATTCGAGAAAAGAATAACAGAATGACAGAGTTGGAAGGGACCTTGGAGGTCTGCTAGTCCAACCCCCTGCTCAAGTAGGAGACTATGGTGAAAAAATGGTGAAATTTTTTTCACAGTGGTGAAAAAAGTAATGTTCTATATATAGGCAAGAAAAACCAAATGCACAGGTATAGTATAGGGTTAGGGTTAGGTCACCATGAACTCATAGAGCAAAATGGACATCACCAACAAACTCGGAGTGCTTGAGTATGGTTAGGAGGGCACTGACTTTTCTAGGCTGCCCTATCTATGTTTCCTGGTAAAATACATGGGAAAATCCCATTGGGGGAAAATTCCACTTAGGGTTAGGGTTAGATTACCATGAACTCATAGAGCAAAATGGACATCGCCAACAAACTCGGAGTGCTTGGGTATGGTTAGGTGGGCACTGACTTTTCTAGGCTGCCCTATCTATGTTTCCTGGTAAAATACATGGGAAAATCCCATTGGGGGAAAATTCCACTTAGGGTTAGGGTTAGATCACCATGAACTCATAGAGCAAAATGGACATCGCCAACAAACCCGGAGTGCTTGGGTATGGTTAGGAGGGCACTGACTTTTCTAGCCTGCGCTATCTATGTTTCCTGATAAAATACATGGGAAAATCCCATTGGAGGAAAATTCCATCTAGGGTTAGGGTTAGGTCACCATGAACTCATAGAGCAAAATGGACATCGCCAACAAACTCGGAGTGCTTGGGTATGGTTAGGAGGGCATTGACTTTTCTAGGTTGCCCTACTATGTTTCCTGGTAAAATACATGGGAAAATCCCATTGGAGGAAAATTCCACTTAGGTGGTACCTTGTGTAATAGTAGTAACTGTGAGAAGGACCTCGGAGTCCTAGTGGACAATCACCTAAATATGAGCCAGCAGTGTGTTGCAGGTGCCAAAAAACCCAACACAGTGCTAGGCTGCATTAACAGAGGGATAGAATCAAGATCACGTGAAGTATTAATACCACTTTACAATGCCTTGGTAAGGCCACACTTGGAATCCTGCATCCAGTTTTGGTCACCACGATGAAAAAAAGATGTTGAGACTCTAGAAAGAGTACAGAGAATTGCCACCAAGATGATCTGGGGACTGGAGGCTAAAACATATAAGGAACGGTTGCTGGAATCGGGTATGTCTAGTTTAATGAAGAGAAGGACGAGGGGGGACATGATAGCAGTCTTCCAGTATCTCAGGGGCCATCTTGTTAATTTCCTGGGACATCTCCTGGGTCAGCTTAAAAGTGCCTGTTGTGAAACAT